CTTTTTCCTCATTTATACCTTATGTTTGAAGACAATTCCAAAAAATCTGTTCAAGCATATAAAGTGTTTATATTTGTCCTGCGATATGAAGTCAAGCTGCAGCACTGATAAAGCTACCGATTGGGTGGATACCAGCACATCAGATTGATAAGTATGCAAATATTCTAGCTGGGGACAGAATTGTCACGCTATGCTCCATGGCTGTCAAATATCCAGATGCAATGCTGTCTCAGAAAGATGCCGCTTTCAAAAATTTTCCTTAGAGGGGTACTCAGAAAACCGCGCTTTAGCCATATAACTCTAGTCAAGTGATTTCTCTCAGCTTCCTCTATAGCTAACAGAGAGGTAACTGCTTCTCCAGGTGTGACCAGAATCCAGCGTACCCACGCCAATTCTGCCTCAAATGCCTTTCAGATGGCTTTCTCTTCCCCTAAAAAACTGTACATAAAAACTATCTATCTAGCTAATGCTCCTTGCCTACCATTGAGGGGTCTGATTGCCCAGCTCTCGTCCCCACATCATTTCCATATTAAATGACTGTTTTGCTTAACAATTCCAGTGTTTTTTTGTTTTTCTTCATGCATGAGAAACTCTGGTAATTCTCTTAAGGAACTTGGAGAGATCTTCCCAAAAAACTGATCAACTATTCCTTCCTTGCTCATGTCCTGGATTCTTTTTTCAGACGGGTGGAGCAGGATGTACTGCAAGCCTGCAGTAATCAAGTCTATTTTTGAACCATTAGATTGCTTTTTGTCATTTTCATCTCAACCACTTAGATTATATGGGTCACAGTTGTTCCTCTTTTCCTACAGCAAATGGGAACGACTGAACATTGTAATCTTCCCTCCAAAGTTTTTGTACTAAGTTTTCATTATGAACCATACATATTTCCCTTCACTGCAACCTGCCCTGCTTTGCAAACATGGTTTGAAGAAAACATGGATAGAAAACAATCTCTTAAAGGCAGATTTTTATTAGAATATTCTAGAAAAGGCTCTAATAAATTATCTATGCAGACAATGTTTTGCTCACTCTTACAATAATCTAGCACTAGAAATAAACTGAACAGCCCAGATGTCAGTCATGAAGGTTTTTTTTTTGTTTTTTAATTCACTACAATTTATAGCTCAATGACTAAATCTATCACATATAAGTTGGCTGTGACTTATAACGCAATGTAGTAAAATTTAGCCACCCTAATAAAGAGCTATATAAATCACATAGAAAACAAACAACCCTTTACTACAGAAAAGGAAAGAAAGGTTAACAAAAACAAAATTTTTTTTCTCAGCTTTTACCTCCTTCAGGGTTTAATCCTGCCCCTGCGAACTGCACTGCATAAGACCAATTCAACAAAATAAAATCAGATTTCTGAAAATTGATACTGTTAATCAGGACAGACATCACTGAAAATAATGGAATTGTGCGGGGAGTCCAAAACCTCCAGGAGATTTGTGTAGCTATTGCTTGCCAGATCCTTTGGAAAGCATGTTCTGAGGGGAAAGATTTGGTTTTAAGCTCTTTCTGGTTTGTGCAAAAGCAGATTCTTTCCCTTCCAGTGGAGGAGGCCCTTTATCTTCCTTCTCTTCATCTGTAGAATAACCTAGCATCTGCCTTTTATTCCTTACGATTGCCCTTTAGTGTAGAAGTGGCCACTCACCTTGAAAAGCTTGAGAGTCGCAGTCTGCTGTAGTAGCCTCCTCAAAACATGGAGCTCAGCAGCTGGCTCAGTGAGATGGATGCTGCCCTTCTGGCATAGCAGCAAAACAACATGCTCCTCTTTCCACTGCTGAAAGGTCTCCTGAGTGAACATCCTCCCTGCACCCTGATGAAGAGATAAATACAACACCAAATACGTTACAATGGACTGTCACCCGACATTCTCAACTTTTCCCTCCCTCTCCAAGATTGTCAGAAAACACAGGCATGAGGCAGACCAAAATCCATGTCTCACAATAATTTCTTGCCTAGCTGTTAGTGAGGCCCAGGAAATTGTTCTTATTTCTCTTTCACAGAGATGCAGTCTGAGGAGGGTCTGGCAGTGGGGAATAGGACCAAGATTTTCTTTCCGTTAGCTCAGTGTCTGAAATCTCCAAACCTCCCTCCAGGGCACAGAGTAAGTGACCACCCCAAATTTGCATAGTTCCTTTTAGCTAATGGAGTTTGAGAGTGACCGGCCTATTAGCTGTAACTGTAAAGGACTAGAATGGAATGGGAGGAAGGCTGAGCAGACAGAGTACTAACCCCGCACCTCTCACTCTGTTGATGACAAAGCACAACCACACACTCTGTTGACCTCTGGCAAATTGCTAGGACTCGTTGCCTCAGTCTCCAAATGCATCAAATGGATTAGTTTGACCCTACTTTGCAAGAGTGTACTGGAGCAGTGAGTCGGGAGAGAGAGTAGTAAGTCAAGAGTTTTCAGGAGAACCCATAGATAACTGAGTGTTAAAAAAAAGGCAAACAAAAAAACCCCCTCAAACCCACACAGCTTAAAAAGCCCTTTTAAAACCCTTTAAAAAAAGCTCTTTACTTGAGATCTTTTCTACTGGTGTTCTTGTACAAAAGGTTTTCCTCCCAGCTATCAGTCATCTACAGATTGACTCTACAACTTTGCAAATGTAGCACATATTTTCTACGTTTCGCCCAAGCTGCAGAAATCATTTTTTTCTCCTAAAGCATTTTGTAGCAAGAAATTATAATTTCTCTTAACTTCTTCCAACACTTCAGCAGCTTCACTCTGAATGAACCTGAATGGGACCATATGTCACCCCAGCCTTTGTTCCCACACTCACCGGATTTGGATCCCATTTGTCAAACTGTTGCCAAAGGCACTGCAGCTTGCAAGACAGATTATTTATCTTATACTTATCAGATGAAAAGAAGCAGAAAATTTTTTGTTACATTAACATCAAGGTAGCGAGAAAAGATGATCTAATTTCTTTCTAGAGGAATCCCCCGTGTTACCCAGGGGCAGTACGAGGGAGATGGACAGAAGAGCCACTATCAAACTGAATGATGCATAAGATATTACAAACCCCACAACAACTACATTAGAGACTCCTAACATTCAGCATTGGCATCCTGCTTTGGGAGGTCAAAGAACTGCACAGATATTAGCTAATTACATTTGGCACAATCATCTCATCTTACCTGTGCACAGACACTTCAGGCCACGTGCTCGGCTGGTGTAACGTGCTGATTTCAGCAGCACGGCTGATGCATTCCAGCTGAGAAGAGTCCCTCTGCTTCCATATCTTATATATAAGGGAAACTTAAAACCTTCTCATCTGCAGTTCCATATGGTGAGGAAGGGCCAAGGCAAAGGTTTCATCTTGTGTAATCACACTTCAACTAGGAGCTCCCAAGCTGCTAAATTAAGATTTCTTTTAGTTTGCATGTCATATCAGCTGTCACCACAGGGTGACACAACAGCACAAGGATGAAGCTTGATCAGGGTGAAGTGATCTCAAAGCACAGCAGAACTGTGTTTTGTACAAGTACTCTCGAACAAGAGTTTTGTACAAGACAGGCACAGCGATTCCTGCATTTCTGGGAGGCAGCGGGCTGTTGGTGTATGCGTGCTCTTGATCTGCGCATGTGCAGCAAGTATGCTGCATTCTGAGTGCATTGGTTTTACCCAGTTTGCTTTCAAGGGCACGTGGAGTGGGCATGCTTGGATGTCCCATGCTACTGCCCCAACATGGCTATGGGACAAAATCCAGACAAATTTCCAAAATCTTCCAAAGCCACCTGGACAAGATTTCCAAAGACAGAGAAAAGACTTGTTTGCAGTAACCCGTCAGGTACACTGCCCCATTACAAGCAATACCACAATACAAGCAACTTCTAAAGAACTTGTTCCCACTGTCTCCTGTAAAATTAACTGAAACCCAAGGATTCCAGGGAAAACAGACAACTAGAAAGTGACGGGGCAGGATGGATGGGGGTACAAACTCGGGACTGCGGCTCTCTGTTCTTTCTCAAAACCCATGGAGAGCTGCAAGGAGGTTACAGAAACTGAGGAATACAACAAACACATGAAGCTGAGGTCTGATGGGTCAGAATGAGACTTCGGGTTCTGATCCTGCTCATCTGGTAAGAGCACTGCCACTCATTTCACTGGGCACTGGATCAGTCCTACAGAGTTTGCCACTGGTTTGTTTACAGGGTAAAATACAGCTTCATTACCTGCAGAAACGCTGGACTACCACCACATATGGAATGAGAAAAGTGGGAGCACAATGGAGCTTTAAGGGCTCACTTTTCTCTGATAGCTGTAACTCAAAATAAATCGGTGTTCTGATCTCTTTTCCATTAAAAAGATTTATATCTTGCTAAAGGAGGAGAAAGAGAAAGTGAACAAAGTGAGGACATTTGTCAATAACATATTACACTTCAGTGGTTACTGCACTCATCTGTACCTTGAGCTTGCATTGTTTCCCCATACTAGGGGGCTGAAAGACTAACTGCCCTTCTGCCCAGTGGGTCCTCTAGAAGCTGTGGCAGGCGGGGAACCACCTCATTCTGATCATCAGCCTTGAAGGTCACTGGGTCACTGATTCCATTGGTCAGCAATTGTCACCCACTAGGAAATAGATGGTTAAGCCCAGACAGGTCCATAAAGGTCACATATTTAGCACTGTCTCTGCATTCAGGGAATCATTCTACTGCCGTACCCAGCAGAATAATAACAAACATATGCTAAAGTAGTCAGGGGAAAACATATCTTTAAGTGGAAACCTGAAAAATTAATCTAAGGATGCTTAGTTTTTCAATATGGATTTTAATAAGGCAAAAATTAAGCCATATTCACAGATTATCTTTACAGAATAAATTCAATGCAAACATAAAAATTTGAATTACAAAAAAAGAATTGGTTCGAAAAGAATTGTCTTAAAGCTCACAACCACTCTGTGTTTTGGAGATTTCTTTTCTTTCTTTTTTTTTTTTTTTTTTTTTAGGAGAGCTAAACTGAAGAGCAGAGACAATGGTATTTAGATATGGAAGTCAGTATATCTGTACTAAGAAGATGCTACTGCTGCCATACGGTACATACTATTGGAGGAATGTTTGAAGAAAACACGTGTCCTGTGATTGGGAACTCAGACTTCATCCTACATGGTTAGATGAGGTTGAATTTTGATTGCATGTTCAAGAAATCACATGGGAAGGAGCAAAAGTATTTAGCTTTTGTTTTCTATGGCTGACCACAGCAAGTGGAGCATTGTGGAGGGACAAATTTCAGGTGTACAAGGATGGTCAGTGGGAAGTTAACTTTCGTTTCCCAGTTCTCCTTGAGGCAGATCTCAACAGACAGTAGTTTTCTGCTTGAAGCCAGAAAATTGCAGGTAGAAAACCATCTCAACTGGCCATTTGATTAAAAGGCGGAGGACTGGGCACGGAGAGGGGTTACTCTTGTCTGAAACCACTCGCTGAAATCCTCTTCTGGCATCTGCACAATACTTTCACGTACAAACTGGAACAGAAAAAGGTGTTTTTCTGAGCATTTTATTTACGCATAGGAGAGAGAGAGAGAGAACCTCAACCAGATGTGCTGTGGGACAATTTGAGCGTGGTAACAACGGAACAACCATAGCAGCTTCTGCAAACAGTATAGTGCTTAATATCACCAAGATAAAGATGAAAATAGGAGAACATTTTCAATGCAACCCTCAAGACTACTGGATTTGCTCTAAAATAAATTAAAAGCAAAACCCTACAACCCTCATTGTAAATTGTACCCTGAACCCTTCAAAGTGAAGTCTTTCTGTTTTAAACTTGCAGCTGTCTTCTACCTACCACTGCACGAAATACAGGAAAGCAAACTGAAGTTGAATAAAAGCTTCATTTGGAACCTATGTTTGTCTTTTGTCAGCATCAACCAGTTCATATTCAGTGATGCTCTTCTTGCTCCTAAAATGCTACAATTTCCTTTAGCTATTCCAGTCAGAAGGAACACTGAAGCCCTCCTTCCCCTCTGGTTCTTTTTGAAAGACGTGTAAATAAGCCGATTCAGCAATGCTCATATCTTTTTGTTTTAACTGTTGCAGTAATATGAAGGAACAAAATGCAAAGGGAACAGAACGGAAAGAGCAAAGACAAATAGATTTAAAAGGAATAGCAAGCAACAGAGATTTATATACTGAATGTTAAGGGAAGGCTCCCTCACTGGTTAATGACTATGCAAATTAGGGCAGACATCAAGAAAATTCAGGTAGTCTGATCTCTACACCTTGAGTGCTAGGGCTGTAAAGCATGATATACCCGATATATGCAAGATGCACAGACGTCGTAACCTGCTGCCTGTCAGAGATTTCTGTTGGTCAGGTAGCTGAGAGGAAAGAATTGTCATGAGAACAAAAAACACAAGGTGGCATCATTGCCATTTTTTAAGTTAGTTACCTGGTTAGACTACATAGTAGTATACATTCTAAATGTATTCTCTTCTCTTCCCTTCCTTCTTCCCTCTTCCTTCTATCTTTCCTCTTCTGCAAATTGCTTCTAGAACTACAAGAGTTGAGCCCAACTCAAGATCTTGAGAAGCATATTATTTTTTAAAGGCTGCTGAAGCAAAACAAACAAATCTGCAGAGTTCCTAGATCAATGGTGTAATACGCTACTTGAATAGCTGGTGGATGTAACCATTGGGAATGATAGGCTTTTGCAGGGCACAACAAGTACTCTCTTAAAGTATCCTAACAATTTATGACAGATGTCACTTTCACTCTGGCAGGAAACAACTCAACAATGACATAATAATAAAACAATACTGAATAATAATGCACTAAGTAATGGCTTTCTTCTGAAGAGTTTGAAGTGCCTTATAAAAGATGAATATCACTATATTCATTTAGTGAGATCCCAAATGATTTCATCTGGTAACTTCCCACTGCATGAATTTCACCTACGGGTGTTTGCTCTCCTCATCCTCATCACACAGAGTACCAAGAACTGGACTCTTCTCACCTCCACAGCTGCAGCAATTTCTGGAGAACACAGCTCCCACACCTGGAGATCAGCCAGAGCCTTAAGAAACGTGTCAGGACGAATTCTCAAGTCAGGGTTCTTGCCAAATTTTTCCAGTTTCTTTAAGATTTTCCGTACATAATGGTCATTCTTCACAGACTCTGGGAGTCTGGCCAGCAATACAGGAAACCTTTAGCAGAAAGAAGAGCAGCAATGAAAGAAAAGACCTTGGAACAAATACTTTTCTGGTGGGTATTCTGGGTTTGCCTGGCATTTCTGCTCCTTCACCATCTCCATAGCTTACAGAGGAAAAAAGGCTCTTTGGGGAATGCAATACTCTCTGTAATTCTCAGTGAACAATGCAAAAGAGCTTTATTTTATCAGGCTTGTGCACTGCCATTAAAATAGATGCTTCTTCGTTGTTCATTTGAATTCTGGATGACAAACTTGGGTATGAAAGCAGATAATAAAATCCTAACAAATGTTTCCACTTTACTACTGATTTGTCCTCTTCATCTTTCCTCTTTTTATTTTGTTTAGCCTCTGAGGATTTTCCTGTGCAATCAGTGCCTGATCTGACACACTTTCTGATGCTCTTTACTATTCCTTTTCCCTATGCTATCATTTCTCCCCTCTCTATGTGCTGACATAAATCTCACTGATGTGAGCACTCTGTAATACACAGTCTTTGCCTTTTTACTCTGAATATAAAGACATAGAAGGAGAATTACACATTACAGTAAAAATAAAACTCTTGTGAAAAGACTCCCTTTTTTTTTTTTAATGTTCTGTGTAAATTCTGCAGTATTGCTTTGACAGTCGTGGAGACTGATGTCCCAAGCCTCTCCAGACTGTTCATGACTGAGGCGCGCTGTGGCTCTTCCATTGCAAAGGGCTGAGAATTTGGCAGCGCATCAGAAGGAAGCACTGCCTCCGCCATCATTTTAGGATACATTTTACTGTGCCAGCAGAATAAGGATGAGGAATCTTCCTTAAACCAGTAAAAAAAGGAAACAGGTCTACAGAAGGGTCAGTTCTAAACGAGGGAGTACATTGCTGGTGCAGCTGTATAGCCAACTCATTATCACTGGTTAGTTTATCAAGGTCACATTAATTGTGTCACACACAATTGTGTCGTTTATAACCCATCCACTTCTTAACTTCCTTTTTCAAAGAAAATATCTTAAGTTCACTGTGCTCTTATACCCCAGTATATTTAATATATATGCACAGTTTATACTATTATATATGCACAGTTTATATTATTTCTGGCTTTTCTCACTTTATGAGAGAAAAAAAACAAACAGACTGACAGTGTATACTAATAAAGTGCCCCTACTGTGATTCAGCTCTCCTGGCAAGGCAATGTTTGCATGAGTGTGGGAAAAAACAGCCTTCCTTTAAATGAAACAAGTGGCAAAAGCAATTTCTCCGGCATTAATTTGTCTCTCCACAAGGGGGTTGACCAGCCTTGTCCATCTGTGATTCCATCTCTGCATATCCCTAATAGAGAGCACTTTGCAACACAAGCCTGGCATAGAAAGCTACACCCTTCTAACTATACTGGCATAGTTAAAGCAAGACAGCCTCCTTACTGTGGAAGCAGAATTTTCATTGTGAAGGGACAGTAGACTGATGCTACTATTCTTGCATGGGTAGGTGAAAAACTGGATCGGTATATTCTCCTTTATACTCATGGAGCTGTGTACACATTAAGGCTTCTTCTCGTTTAAATATCAGTATAAAAGCAAAAACACATCGACTCCAGTAACAAGGCTTATACACATGCCAGATCTTAAATTTGAAGGTCAGCTGGAGCAAATATGCTTGACAATTTAAACCAGAGTTTTTCTAAATAGGCTAAGACTAGTTTCATGACTGACATGTTCCAGGGTCACCTGCATTTGAGATAATAATCGGGCTTTTTGTTATCTAAATAGGAGAAGGACAGACGACCCCTAGCAAGGACAAAAGAGGGGAGACTTAAAAAACCCAAAACCCAAAAAACACTGATGCAGCTTGAACTCTCTGTAATCCCATGTCCGAGGAGTTTTCAGTGACAGGGCAGTAGGGAACATGCTGCGAGCTCACGATGGCATTCTGATAGGCCATGTTGGGCTTGTATCTCAAGGTTGATCACTGGATACAGTTAATATTCTTTCAAAAATAAAACACTAGAACTCTGTAAAATAGCTGTACTGGGAAGCACTCAGATGATTACTCTTTTTGCCCCCGTAAGTGTTGCAGTACTATCCACATGCAGTTCATTAAAAATGGCAGGGAAATATATATATATATATATACACATTTTTTTACCATAGATGGACAGCTATCTGCAAAATCTTCTCTGCCATCAATTTTAGTACTCTGAATGTTCAGTTCAGTAGCAAGTTGCAGTAGCAGTATGAGAAATACAATATCTCTCATCTTCAGGGTCCAGTGTGTTTTACATACTTCAGGGAGGAAGAAGCCTCCTATAAAACTGCACGCTGGGGAGGATGTGAGAATACAGGAACTGAGCACTTTTGCCTGGTACCACTGAAAGGAACTCTTCCTTATCCCCCTTCTTACCATGCCCAATTGACCTATTTGCTGAGCAGGCCGAGATCTGATCCTAGAGATCATTCCTGAATTTTTCTTGCTACCGGTTTGAAAAGCCTGCATTTCAAGTAGTCATTTCAATGGTTACTAGTGATACTTCCATTTTGGGGTAAAAAAGAAAAAAGAAAAAAAGCTTGCTGTTCTAGGGGCACAGTTCTAGGATCCTGACCATCTCAGCTGAACAGGGCTGCCCTGTCCCTACTGCCCTGTCACAGGGTCTCTGTGCTTCCTTACCAGTTTAGTCCATCTCCATCCTGTTTTCTTTCAGTTCTCATGCCCAACTGTCTCATTCTTTCTAGGTCTCTCTTAAAATACTTGATATGCTTCAAAGCCTGGTATTTTTGACAGCATCTCTCTTCCTGCCTCCTACAAATAAATTTAAAAATTAAAATTGTATCTTATGTATTATCATTCTTATTGACAATTATTTGGGAAGATACTAAGAAAGGTAGAAAACAGTGAATGAAAAGATTATATATTTAGTCTGTGGACACTAATAACTTTTGCTTTTGCAGTGCTCTGCTGTGTATATTTATATTTCTACAAACTTATTAAAATTATTTATGTTTTATATCAACTCTAGCAGGAGAGTAAGAAACAAACTTCAGAATCAAAACATTTAAATTGAAATTCATCCTTCACTTTCTATATGGTATCCACTGCTTAAAAACAAATACTAATGCTGCACCGTGATTTAGGGTGAAGCATTATTTGAAGCACAACAGAAAAGAGGTGAAATAGACGACCTATGCTAGAACTTTTACCCAGAGATCGGGCTAATGTATGCATTCCGACAAAGAGCGCTACTACGTTATAAGAAAAACAAATAATCATCTGCCTCTCCTTCCAATAAATGACTTATACTCAAATGCCGATCAAACACAGTATGCTTGTGAGGCTGTATGGAGCATGGCCAAATAGCTGGAAGTAGTACATTTCCATCTGACTTGTCCTTCCATACTGCAGGATGCTACAATGACTTAGTTCCTTACCCAGTCACAACACCAGCTCAGGGAAGAAAACAAGGAACAAGGTTCCGGATAAGGAAAGCTTTTGGGTCAAAAAAGTATAAGTGCACAGATGAACATAAGAATGGATGGAAGAAGGAAGACAGAAGGGAAAGCAGACAGTGTCTGTAACACCCTTTAGAACAATACTGTAGAGAAGGATCTCAGGTGTGCTGCTTATTGAGACGAAAGAACTTACAAAAATATCACAGATGAATGTTTCCGGATGAAAGGAAATGGTTGACAGACTTTGGCTGGTCAACAAAGTAGAAATGTCACTGATCTAGGAAAAGGCTGTTCTTATATTCTCTCCTTGAGAGCGGACTTTGCAACTGTTAGTACGAGACAAGTCCAAGTAATGTTGAAGAACAACGTAGTGATCACTGAACTGAAAACATAACACAGCCTTATGGATTGTATGTGGACTGAATTTATCCTTGGGTGAAAAGGATTATGATACTCAAAATAAGTATATCCACAGACGTCGTTCAGAAACATCCCAAAACACTGCTGTAAATATTTAACCTGTAGCACGTTTTTTGTACTTGGTTAGTCATAAACTTTCTGGATCATCCTTGTGTTGTTATTTTCATGTCACTCCATATAAACCAGCAGATGCATCATTAAAGGCCTGAGAGCAAGTCCTAAATGTGGTCAGAAGCAAAGTGTGTAGTGTTTCAAGGGTCATAGAAAATACTCTGTTCTTACCTTTCAAGGCTCTCTAGGGTGTCATGTAAACAAGAAGCTGCTTCCTCACGTATTGCTGTGAACTTTTGCCTCACATCAGCACACAAATTAGATTTGCTTTTAATAAAAGAGCTGATACGGCAGCTGCAAGTAAAAGAACACAGAAAACTGGAATTAAGCATGTTCTGGTAACCATCTTGTGGAAATCATCTGAACACACAGTGACATAAACCCAAGTACCTCGCTCTCAGATGCTTCAATTTTGAGATCTCCTTATTCACAGTAAAAAGTATAAATTCAATCATTTAGAGGGTCTTTAAAATTCATTAAATGTATGAAAGACCTGCCTTCAGATATTCACTTGTATCTCAAAATGCATTTCCTTGTGACTATATCCATAATCTGTTTATGTTCATGCTTGGGAACTAACAAAGGTCTGAGATTTATTGGTAAAAATGTTCGCAGAAATGAATTTTCATCTTGAATTCTTAAATATTCATGGAAAGCAAACTTAAAGTTACACGTTCATTTGTGAAACTCATAATATGCATTGCACTGGTTCCTGACAAATCACTCAAAGTCAGGGAGCAGGAACAATAAATCTGCATAAATACAGATTGCTAATTGCAAGTATACCAGACACTGTGAACAGGCCAGCTTCTTTGATAACAAATGTTTATTACTTCCCAATGTTTTATCTAACATGCGACTGTGAAAGTTTAAGCGCAGCAAGGTTGTGGAAAATGCAATGCTATTTACAGTAAGCCTACCCTTTGGCTCTTCTCATCTGCTTTGGACTCTCTTGCTCTTTAGTGGTTGCTGTGGTTGTTCCGTCTTTCCTCTCAGTCACAGTGAATGAACTGCAAGGGAAAAAACAAACAAACTCTGCATGCTATACTGTGCAGGCAAAGACCTTGCAACCTGGGGACAGCCAATTTCATAGCTATGGCATCAGGCACTGTTTCTTGCCTTTATCTTGCCAGATATTTTGATTTAGCTTTCATCTTGTTAAAAAGAAGACATGAAAAAGGAGGAAGAATTTTTAAGGTGAACATAGAGATGCAAGCATATGACTTCCAGTTATAGTAACAGGAAACCTAAGGAAAAATTCCTTTGCACTGTATTGAAATACGCTGCAAGGTTTCCCTGTCCTGCCCTGGTCTCATTGCAGTAAAACGCTCTCTGACATCTGCATGCTAAATACTTTCCACACATAAAGCTGAGTTTATACAGTATATACTGTACCTCAGACACACATTCCTACCCTCATCCCTACCATATGGGCTTCTGCTCTCCTGACGTTATGCTCTCTTGGTCCTTAATGCCTGCCATGTTTACTCTGTCATCCTTCTGAGCCATTGATAGCAAACTGTAAGACAAGATAAGGTTTAAAATAGTGTACGATATGCCTTCTCCAGAATGTGAGACATCCTACAGGTGCTGATGAAACATTCTTAATATGACAGACCTATTGGAGCTACCCAGGTGCAAAACTTATGATTAATATTTTCCTTGACTTCAGCCCAAGGGAAAAAAATGTTTCTGCAAAGTCTAATTATAAGAATGGTTTGTTGCGTTGATTCTGTTGCTGCGGAAACCACCACAGAAGCAAGTAGTGTCTACTTAATTTAGGTGACCTGGAGAAATGCTAGGAATGGAAACAAACTGAAGAAATAGTTGGGACATTACTTGTTACTTCTCTTTTAGTGGTAGCAATAGATCTGGACAGAGGGCCAGCTGCAGTAAGATTCCTCTTGCTTTGACAGTTCTGGTGAATCTCCAAAATCAGGTGATGGAAGATAGAAGAACTTGATTAGCCCCATTATCTATTTCTTAGATATTCAGTAAAGTGATATTAGCAGCCTAACAAGGCTGGCAGACAGACCTCTTCTGTGAGGAGTTGTCTCCTTCTACCTGTAGATAAATGCTGATAGTTAAAACAGATCTCCTGAGGAATCTCTTTACAAATACAATCATTATACCCAGGTCTCATCTTTAGGTTCAGATTTTAGACTACATTCAGTCCATAATTATTTGCCTGTTAGTTCTGAAAAATAGTTCTTAATACTACATACATGAATGCCTGAAAGAAGAATCACAGTAATTTTTAGCATCAAAAAGACTCAAGACTACCAATTCAGTTGCAGTAGATAGCCTCTGACAAACCCTTCTGACTCCTCTCAGTCTTAGGTGTTTTCAGGGTGCAAAAGCTTCCACGCAGCCAGAATTCCCCAATTTCTTGTCAATAACAGGAAAATACTGGGTGTAATTTACATGTGTGATGGTACATGCCATATTTCACCCAGGAAGAGGATTGCCTCACGTTACATGAACAAACCTCAGTCTTTTAAGGTACTTCTACCTCTTATGCTCTCGCTCCAGAAAAGTTACTTTCTGTTGGTCCTTACATATGGTTATGCTTGTTCTCTCATTCTTTCCATGTGTTGGCTGTAAGCTACAAAAGCAAGCTAACACTCCTGAAACAGTTCAGAACATGTCTTCCCTAGCACATAAGCAATGTGGCTGGTGCCAACTCTTGGAGGAAAAAAATACCTTCTTAAAGAAGGTGAAAGTCTTTCAATTAAAAAATGTGTGGCTCAGCTCTTCAGATGAGGTACACTGGCAGAACTCCTCTGATTTCAGCGGAATCACGCCAGATCGTATCAGCTGAGGTTGATTTAAGTGGCCCTCCATTTTCAATACAAAAATTCTGAATAAAATTCCCTGTACTAATTGCTTTCTCCAGGAAACATTTCTCCAGTTTGGAAATAATCAGGAAACACAGTCAATTTAGGTTTAGCTGGAAGTGTTATAGAGAAGCTATTGAAAAATGCAATGGTAGACACAGAAACAATTCTACAGGAATTAGACAGACCATCTCTTCTTTCTACAAAGCTGCTGGAGCATAAGAGCTCTCCTGTTTGCAAGGGGCAAGATGTATGGGGTATTTTCCAGAAAACAATTATTGCTTGCACAGCAGTAACATAACATGGGCTCTTCCGCCACCCGTGCCAAGAAACATCAGTGCCGTCTAAATTCACTGAATGTTGAATTTAGCTGTTCTGACAAAACGCATAAGCTCTGTCCAGGTAAGTTGCTTCTCATAGTCATTCAGAAATCCATCAGGTAACATACCATTGCAGTTCAGTCTTCTTAATGAAATTTTCTTCTTTATAGAAATCTTTTGACACCTCTTCATGTGTTATCTGGATTAACTTCTGTAGGGCTGATAAAAAAAAATTCTGTAAAAACATGCCAATGTTCACCTACATCTGTAAACAAATTGCCTGCAAGTATAGCTTTGAATTCTCCACTGCTCCCATTCGTCTCATAGGAAGGCTATCCAGCTAAGCCTGATACCATGGATAGCAGCAGAAGTGTAGGCAGTGTATGGTATCAAGTGCAACGCTTACCCTGATTACATCCACCCAGCTTTTGGCAGTCTGAACCTAAAGGACTTCCAGACCCAGAGAACATTTCCATTCCTTTACATTTAAGAGCAATTACTTGTTTTTTCTTCTCTTCATTTAACTGTCTCTGAACTCGTATATAGTTTCAGCAATATCTTGTAGCAATAAATTCCTAAATTTACTCATGCATTGCATGAAAACACTTCCCGTTGTCTTAAATTTTCTGCCAGATTATTTAATTTGGTGTCCCCTATTCAAGGGAATCAGTGAATAACCATTCTCTAATCCCTTTCTCCATGCGTTTCATGATGTTACAGAGTTCTGTCATTACTCTGTGTTCAGCCATGTCTTTTCCATATTGAAGAGCCTTGATCTGTTTAATCATTCCTCATATAGAAGCTATTATCTATCTCTGGCTGTCCTCGTCACCTTTTCCTTGACCTTTTCTCCTTCAGCATATTCTGGTCCTTCGAATTCAAATAGAAGAAGCACATACCAAAGATTTCTGCTTTTGTATAACAGTGTTTTCTGCTTTGTTTCCCACTTCCTTCCTTATCATTCTTAGGTTCTTTTTGCCTTTTTGATAACTACTGAGCATTCACAGAACTACCCCAAATACCTCCAAGACCTTCCTCCTGAGTGGTAAGTTAAAGACTAGCAGAGCATGACATCAGCCTAATAATGATAATATAAATATCAATTTAAAAGAAAATTTGGCAGTACTAAATGCTAATGTAGGGAAGGGAAAAGAATTACGATTACCCGGCTTTGTACTGAAATGCATTACAGAGCTGTCAGATCAACTCTTCTGTCAGCTCGGTCACGGGCAGGTAATCATCAGTGGATGAACAGGAGGAATACAGAGTAACAAACCCCAAAATTAAACAGGTATGTATTTCTGCTGTCCTTGTCAAAATTCAGTGGATCAGTTGGTTATGCCAGAGAACAGCTTAACTTTTTTCATCTCCTGCCAGGCATTACTGATGTGGAAGACAGTCTAATCATAAAATGATACATCTGAATATTAATTAAAATTCTTTAATATTCACATGGGATTATATTGTCTTTAAATCAGTCTGCTAACAGGGAGGATGGCACCGAGAGACTTGTACAAAGTTCTCTAAGCTTGAGGAGGAATGCACTCCTACATCCAACAGCGTCTTTGAAGTCGGTTCTGCCTAGCAACACTGAAACTATTTGTCATTGGCAGTCAAGAAAAGCAACTTACAGGGGCAAAGAGCTTCTTCTTCTTCTTTAGTTTGTGCTGACTCACTTGTAACATCAGATGAAGCTATATTCATGTTGACATTGTCTTCAGAGCAGAAATAAAGGGAAGCTGTGCTGCCACGAGGAGTTTGACTATGGGGAGATGAGCGACTACTAAGCTGAGACGTGCCAAGAGTAGATATTGTCTTGTTTGTCTTCCTGCTAAGTGGACTATGTCTTGCTTTCTGGATGAATTTCTGTGCATAGAAGAAAGAATGGAAATAAAGGAGGGGTTTTCTACAGCAAATTCGACAACAAAGAGTCATATTTCCATAACTAATTCCAACACAAAGCCCTTCTGGCCTTCCTGCAACCTCACAGATTTTTCTTCAGTGACTTTAACAAGCTAGCCAATTACTTGGATAGGAACTCCTTCATTTTGGGATCTTTCTTGAATACTGCTCTGCTGTAGCATTAATGCCAGCAGATTAAGCTAATTTGTAAGCATGTAACACTGCAGCTGCAGAGGGTTGGTAATAAAGCATCTTTCTCATGTCCAGGGAGGTAAAGGTCAAAGCAGTTTGATAAATGTTCAGGGCTCCCCCCACCAATAATCTGGCAAATGAATTTCCTGTGTCAGGAATGTAAAACTTCAGCAGACTGAATTCTGCAGACTTGGTAATCACAACAGTATGTCTCATAAAGCAACTGGCCTTGGAGGAACCCAATGTTTCCCCTGGAAGTTTCCTATCAAATATGAAAAGCAGCGTTCAAGTAATATTGAAGTAAACGACAACAGAGAGGAAATTTTCATCAGTTCAGGCAGGAATTAAAAAATAAAAGCCGGAGCGATGTGAATGCTAAAAGACACATCAGGACTGACATGCACTTTGGATTCCTCTGCTCACGTTCATTTGCTTCTTACTTTAGAGAACTGGTAAGACTACCTGGAAAAACGGGAAAGCTTCCTATTTAGAAACAACTCTGTTATTTATGTGACTCACTGACTTTACTTTCCTGTTTACTATCAGCAGGAAAAAAAAAGCAGGAAGAATATTTGCATAAAAACACCATCTTTGTCGTTCAGAAGTCTGACAACTCTTGCTGCTTATTCCCCAGCAGAAATCGTAAGCTTCTATTAAATCATTTTAATTATTATGTCAAGAGAGTACAAGCTGCAGGTGCTTGATGAATAACAAGGGCAAATAGCCTGCATGTAACAACAGCTCATATTTCTAAAAGAGTGCCTCACTTGGGGATTTGAAAGCACTTCACAAAACTTGGTTAATTTAGCCTTTTAGGGGGCAAAGCAAGGAACTAAAAGCCTAAGCAAACTGCTGAAGATCAAGACGTAGATGCGTAATAGAGTGAGGAATATTGGAAGCTACTGGTATTCCTTTACCTAGCTCTCCTAATTATACTCCTAAACATCACTCATTCTCCCTGCATTTTCATTCAGTCACTTCAGCAGTTTCAAAAACAAACAAACAAACAAACAAAAGGAACACTTGCTGTGGTTTCAGAAAGTTCTACTGTTCACAGTAGAACAGTTATCAAAGCATTATAGATCGCTGTCTGCATGTTCTCTTCATCAATTTAATTTCTTCTCAGGTAATGACATAGTTTTTATTTGAAAAGACTTTCATCTGAATTGTTCTTTTTTTTCCTTTCCTTGGCTTTGCTTTGCATATGGCAAGTGAATCCTATTTTTTTTTAAGGTCTCGACATCTGAATTCGGTTCCCAACTTAGTTTTAAATTATGTATTAAAAGCAACCAAATAAACCATCACTAGAACTTATCAGACAGAGATCTCAAAGACAAACCAGGATACCAGTCTAAAACCCTCATTAGGCTCAAAAAGGCCAACCAGTGTGAATAAGCACTACTTCATGACTCTGGGTCAACAGAGTCAGGTCCCCAACTCATAAAAAAGGGGAACAATGCAAACAAGAGGCTAGATATGTTTTAGCAGAATATTTAATTCTTTTCACATCAGTACTTGTCACTAAGGCCCAGCCACACCTTCAGTCATCTGAACAGCTACATATTGCTCTTCCTGTTACCTATCAAACTGGTATTCTTCAAAACACAGAGAAATAAGTACTCTGTGGTCACAATATCTGGAGCAGACAATGTCATATCAGGGAGCTCCATTACGCAACAAAACAAAGAAAAACAAATGCTTGTAAAGTTGGATAAAGGTCCCAAGGAAGATATTAGTAATGAACTTACCTTTGTATCTGTAAGAAAGAGCTCCCACATGTATGTTGTTAACTTTTCCTCTTCGATTTCTTCTAATGTTTTTTTAGTGCCACCAGGGTCCCTAAGTGGAAAACAACTTAATTAGTTTTCCATTTCCAGAGTCTTGCTTTTATTACAATTTCTTTTAAGAAATGCAATAAACAGAGGATAAATGGTGGCTGATCTCTGCTGTGACATATATCTTCACTAATAAGAAAGGGAAAGGTAATGCAAGCAGTATAAGCCATGAGTGAGTTATAGTCACAAGGAAGAAAAGCATTAAGAAAGCAGTCATTTATACTACAAACTATAATGCATTTATACTACAAACTATAATGCATGCATTAGGCCACATTATGCTCTCAACTTCCTCTGTGCAAGTACTGAAGAATTTTCTCCAATGCAGCAAGATTTCATGGATAGAAATGATAGCAGGTTTAATTTCCCAGAAGTGAAACTGATAGCAGTAGCAGACCTTGAGAATGCTTCATGCTTTATAGTCTAAGACTTTTTCGTGTTTGCTGACACCCTTACCAGGGGTTAAATTTTCCACCTTCGGTATCTGCATCAAGCTGTTTTTCTGTTATTTATGATTTTTTTTCTTTTTCAGGTAAATTTCAATTTAATTTCAAATTGTTAATATTTTTAAGAATATTAGAAAATACTCTCTCAGTACTTAGATGCTTTAGTGCTGTACAAAAGGACAGCGTGATTTTTGAGGAGGCTATCCTAGTGTTTAAGACGCTTCTTTTGCTGCTGTACAAAATTTCTCCCAGATTCAACCAGATAAAAAGCCTTCAGCATGGACATATTCAACAGAAACATGTTAGAATAGCAGCCAAATTTGCTGGAAATTCTGCCTGCAATAAGCATGCTGTAAACAGAGGTTTCAGGGACTGAACTTTTCCTGGTAATTTCATCTTCAAGCACAGACATCAAAACCGAGAGCTGAGAGACTCAGCTCTCCAGACTCAGACTCCATATTCTCAGTATCTGATGATATCCGGGAAGTGAGGAGGAGACAAAAATAGCCTGGTTTGAACGTGGAGCAAAGAATTTGAGCATAAAGTATATAAACTAGGGAATAACGAACAGGATAGGAGCAAAAGAAACCTGTGTCAGATGAGGGTGTAAGAGACGGCAGGTGAACAGAAACAGAAGTGCATTTTGTATGTGTGTGTATGAATTTATGTCTGAATTTAAGTGTGGCAATCAGGAGGTGAAGAGAGAATATACAAGAGATGGGGTGGTAGACTGTAGCAGAGGTAAATGAGGAACCACAGCAGAACGGGCAAGGAGAGAAGAAAGAGAGGAAAAGAGAGAGAGGGAAGGAGGGGAGGGAAGGAGGGAGAGGGAGAGAGAGAAAAGGGGAAAGAGGGAGGGAGGGAGGGAGAGAGAGAAGAAAGTAGTGGTTAGAGACAGCAGCAGAGAGCAGAAGGAAGTATACCACAAGAAACTGCATTAGAAACCGGAAACGAATCCAGAGTCCTATGCATTTATACTCCTCTGCTGTCAGCCAGTATCTAGAGACCTGCTGGAAAATTGTTTCTCTTATTCCACTCTATTGCTTGGCCCTTACATATAAAGGGTTGAAAATCTCATCCACAATACATACTGGACTGATTCTACTTCCCAGTTTACCAGGCTAATTCTGTATAGGAGTACTATGCCAGCTCTGTTGTACATAGGCATAACTTGTCTTTGTTAATGAAATAACTGAGAATGTAAGGAGAAAACAGAACAGCTTTGAAAAGCTTTACCTTGCAAGTCAGAGAATAAACTGCTCAGTGTTTTACCAAATATGAATAATGTAAATATGTTTTATGTCAACTTTATTATATATATTGACTAAAAATGGTCAGAAATTAAAGTAATATTTACTTCTAACAGTATAAAAGTTCAGAAGCAGTGCATCTTTTACAAGTACCCATCACCGTTGCACATAATTGATATAACAAAACCAGCTAGTAAATATCACTTAATAGTCAGCTTTGTTCTGTGATTGTAATGTATCTGAAATTCATGCTTATTTCACTGGGACTGCCCTCTAAGGAAGGCTGCAGAAATATATGTATATTACTACATATCTTTAATGTGCATAATTATTAACCAAAGGGAAGGGGAAGAGAAAAAGAACACACAACAAAATTTGGCTGGGAAAGCTCAGTATTTTCTGCTAGTTCTGCAACTTGTAACAACTGAGGGCCATGCTGTGCTACTGATTTGAGTGTACAACTCCCTGCTGACTGCAAGAGGGCAAAGTCAATGCAAAAGTTGTTCATGCTGCATGGCTCAGAATTAATAACGTTTCACCCAAACAGCTATTACCTGAAAGAAGAGAACCAACAATGTATCAAGAACAAAAAAACCCCAAACCCTTCAATCCTTCAAAGACTATCCTGCATCGCACACCTACGTTGGATTCCAGCAGGTTAATATGGAATGCATAGAGCTGTTGGATTTGAGAGTCAAAGCTTCCAGAAGCCAGTGTACGGCACACAGCTGTCGGAAAAGATGTTCACTGCAAAGAAGAGGATAAACAAAAGTGTTTTACTACAAAGTCAGGGAACCATAGTCAAACTGGCATCCTTTTGGCCAGAGCCAGCCAGGGCTTTTCAGTCTGGTGTGCCCCCCTATCAATGTAAGAGGTGAAAAATGGCTGTTCATTGCACAAATACCCATACAATCTACCAATCACATTTCCCTGTACCTGCAACAACCTGCACAATGCCAAAACTATCCCTACTGCCAGGTCCAGATGAGAAGGAATTGGAGATCTAAGTGGTACCACACGTGTACAACCCAGCCCCGAGCTAGCTGCTCTTCTCACAGCTGCTGCACCCACCACTGCCCAGCGGGAAGTGGGGCAGGGAAGGGGAGGGAGTAGTTTCAAAACAATAACTGAGCCCCAGCAGGGCTGAATTTCTTTCATTAGAACATACAAGAACAGGAAAAAATGACTGTTAATGATAGTCTTCGAAATAAGTTTTAAAATATATGAGGAGGTTACATAGGATAATGCTGTCTTCCGATGGGGAAAGGCAAAATTCCGTTCTCCTGTTTTGTGATGGCAGCATCTGCAGGTGAAGAAGAAAGACTTGGAGGGGCAGCAGACCAACCAGCAGGTCAGTACCTCATTGCACAGCTGGTATGGTCAAGGAGGATTTGGTTTTTATAACAATGGGACCACTTTGAGGACCGAGGACTACTAGGGAGAGATGGGACTCAAATGAGAAAAAAACCTCATTGACTGAAAAAAGTACATCTAATAGTAAAAGGTAATCCTTAAGTTCCTGTTGGTATAAGGCAGATGAAATTTTTCACTGTCTGGTGAATTCTAGACACCTCTCAAGGTTCCTGCAATGTTAATATGTAACTCTGAAGGCATATTTTTGGATGTGAAACTTTTCTTTGGACTTATTTTGGTGAAGTCCTCAGTGCTTTCAATACCTATGAGGGATTCCAGCATTTGACACCTTGAGGTTTGGATTTTTATAGTTTTGGATTCTAAGGCAGCTTCCAACGGCTTTGTGTTTGGGAAAAAGTAGGGTGTGAGTTTAAAATGCCAGAGCCGTCTTACTCTGAACTATCGTTTGTATTTCAGCTTAATCCATATGCAGATATAAATACATAAAGACACTTTCAGTGAGCAACAGGTTTAATTTACTTAAACAGAATGGATACTGTGTATGAGTGATTTTAATACAAAATATATAGAAGTATACACGATATACTTTAAACTAGACAAATCATATTTTGACTTTGACAATTAAAAACATTTACTTTAAATGAGGCTAATCTTGAAAGCTGTACCACATAAGCAAGTTTTATGCAAATGAATTACTATTTGGGGGATAAAGGCCTTTAGGGCAAATGGTGCGCGCGCGTGTGTGTGTGTGTGTGTGTGTGAACATACACCAGATTTTATGGCAGTCATTCAGATTCAATCATTTAAAGTTAGAATTTAACTGTTGCTATTAGTAAAAACAGACTATTTCACCTTATACTTCTGAAATTCTCAGGAATCACGTTCATCAGGTGAACACTGGCTCTTGATGTACGCATTACGGGTCTCTCTTGCTGTGAATTCTGCTTCTGCCCTCCTAATAAGAAGGGAAGAAGATAAGCTGCCTTCAAACATACCTTTTTGCTCCAGGGGGGTTTGGAACCAAGACACTGGTATGAACAGGAGTGAAAGACCGTAAAGTCATCTTTTGTTTCTTCTTTTTCCTTGCCTTCCGCAGGTGGTGGCCTTCTATCAGAGGAAAGCAACTATAGGAAAGCACAAAGACAGAAGTTAGGAAAAGAGTGTGTGAAACGAAGACAGAGCTGATACAATTGTTTACTGTATTAACCTCAGCACATTCCTCCTCTCCTCCTTTACCATTAAAAAAAATACTTAGGTGCATTCCTGAATTATGAATTACCGAATTTGCTAGTACTTAATATTACAAATTACACACTTATATTTAATTATTTACCATGACTCATTATATTTATAAATTATAAATATGATATTATTTATAGTTACATATTTATAGTACTTATTAATTAAGCGTTTATGTGATATCTCATTTTGAGGCAGACATTATAAGGTGACTGGTTTGTCTGAGAAAAGATGTTGAGATCTTTACACTCCATCACACTAACTTTCTGTTGGTGTGATGCCAATGGCATAAGTGGGATAACATACATGCATCACTAGGGCAATGCAGCAGAAAAATAGGCGTTGTATCTCTATTACAGAAGGCCAGTTTCAAAATTCGCCTCTAAAATTCTGTTCAATTTTTCATGGCTAATGCGTTATGTGCACAGAAAACAATAAAGACTAAGTTGGCACCTGGATGAAAGAGAGTTTCATATGTTGTCCAAATCCACGTAATAGAAAACTGAGCTCTTTACAGGCTGTGGGCACTGTTTCTTCACTGCTACATGCTTTGTTTGGCCGTTTACACCTGCGCAAAGTGTTTATAAAATGCTATCAAGCGAGAAAAGGAAATGTTTATAGCTCTTTTTCACAAATGTAAATAGCTACTTGCACCTGGTGTTAGACAATGGAGGTTCAAGCTTAATAAACACAGTGAGATACAGCAGGCTTCATATGCCACTAGTACATAGAGGATGTACCTATCTATCACTTAAAACTTCAAACACTACAGCTGGCCAGCAAATAAAACCTCTTGGCTGTTCACAGTCTAAACGTGAGAAAGAGACCAAATTACAGCAAGACAGAGGGTGTGCTGGCTAACAGAAGAGAAGTGCACAGTTGTAGCACCGTCTAAACTGGTTGAACTAAACAGGCACATAACAGCATCCACAACAAAACAACACAGAAACAAAAATACATTCCATCATTCTTATCTTTATGGACTCAGGCCTAGCCTCCACGAAGCACATCTGCCTTAACTTCTGGCTGGACCAAAATGGTATAACTTAGAACTAAAGCTTCACCCTCTATGTCTATAGAGTTACACAATAATGCTTTCAATCCCAAATTCATTGTCAATGCATTCATTGTATGCATTGTGTGTTGCATACCCGCTGACATTCACATTTTGAACTGATTTTGAGGTACACTGTCCTAAGCCTATCCATACCGATAACAGTCAGTCTGGGAACTTCCTAAAGTGTCAGTGAGTGTCTTAGGATGATGTATCTGGGAACTTTACCTAAAGTGTCAGTGAGTGTCTTAGGATGATGTATCTGACCTTATCCAGGTGTGCCTAAGAGATTGCTGTTGGGAAGGACTGAGAAGTAATAGAAAACAGCTCCCTAAATTGCTTAGTGGCTGCAAGCCTTTGGACTGGAGCCCTGACTTACTCCTTTGCATCCGCACAGGGAAAAGGGCAGGTTCAGCCTCACAGCCCAAGCGGTGTACTGTTTCCTCCAGTGATCCATCTGTTCAGGCCACACTTGAGTGTGGAGTTATGCCTGTCTGAGACATTAAGAGTCAAGTACAGAACGTGACATGACTCCTCCTCAGCGATAAGGTACATCACACCCCTTCACTGCATTGGTTGTCAAATAATATGAGGATTTCTCCTGATTCTCTGCTTCAAGGCTCTGCTTAACTCTTTAAGTCTCAAATACTCCAAAAATTGTATACAGCCTGAAAACAAAGATTGCTCCTGATAACACTCCTCTCTGAGAGAAAGGAGTTGTCTTCTAGAAGCACAACGTGTACATATGCAGGAAGCATATGCATTTACATGAAGTGAGGAACACTGCCTCAACGGCTCTGGAAAAGCAGAACTTGCTCCTGCCAGTTTAAAGACATAGTTCAAACCTCGCCATTTTTTATTCTAAGGTCCATGTGTATCTATGGATACACACTTCATAGCACATGCCTACTCAACAGCCAGAAAGCTTGGGTTTTGTTTTTCACAAGAAGCAGACAGGAATGAACAAGGAATCTTACATGACAATCACAAGAACTTAAAAAATCTTTGAAAGTAGTCACCTATAAAGATGGCGAGCACAGTATGTGGAACTGTATGAAACCTTTACTATAGGTCTTTTTAGTCTATAAAGAATCTCGTCAGGAAATGTGAGTTCCTCACGAGCTATGTTTTTGAAACATATTCCTCTGTGATTCTGAACCAGGGTGTCATGTCAAAAGCATCAACTTGCAATTTAAAGGCAGCAAAGGTGTATGAAAACCTCATACAACTTTCTAAAGCAAGGAGGGCATGATTATGGAGCTAGCAGAGACAGAATATACCTCCCTTTCAGAAATACAAGACTTTTTGCAGAGTACGTCAAGAACACAATGTGAAAAATAAATAGAAATTCCTACAGCCAACACAGATTGTCTGAGCCAGAGCAGGTTAAGTAGGCTTTCCAATTGTCAGTTAACAGGGTGGTATAAAGAAGTCTGTGTGTGGCAGAGGAGGAGTTAATGAAGACATGAAGAAACAGAAACACTTTCCAATGTTCATCATCACATCAAAAGTCAGTATAATAGTCAAAGAAGACAAAATGAAAAGAACAGTAAGAGGGAAGTTTGTCAGATGTGTGAGACTGTGATAGTTTGCTTTCTTCTTGGTGCTATTTATCAGAGCAACTCAGGGGCACTGCTCTGTTACAAAGGATGGTGGGTCCACACTGAACATATAACATGAGCTACTATGAGTTGAATGATAAATTAGTACAAACATAAAACATAGCTGACAGGTTAAGCGAGAGCTGGGTGGAGGGCGAGTCTTAAAACTATATGCAGATTTCTCTAGCAGAGATTTCCTAAATGAATGAACGTGACTTTGGATTAACATTTTCTTCATAGATCTGAAACAGTTCAGGGGGATGTCAGCTTCCTATCACCTACTATAAACTAGTAAATAGTTGGAACAAGGTTTGAGGGAGCGTCTGTCCCAGGCATTTCATTGATACAAACTTTCTAAAATAAAGCACCAACTGTAAATAGTACATACAACATTGGCAGAGGCATCACAACACTATGTCCAGGGACTCACCCTTACGTAAATTAGTGATCAACGTATCTATTTTATTTAGCTATTTAATAAATGAAGAAACTTATCTACTGCTTGTCTAACAAAGGAGAAAGCAGAGGGAAGATAAAAGCTGTTAGCTTTTCCTGCTGTCCCAGCTGAAATGTCTTGCATAAAACCTTCTGAAGCAGGCTCTTCTTCATTTAAATAACTGTAGATAAATTCTAACTGTAAATTTATACTGATTAGAGCTCACTGGGCACATGAATTCCATAGACTTTGTTGTGCAAAACAACCTGTGTGTTTGTGCTTCCTCAAACAGTATTTCCAATTTTCTCTTCTCTGTAGTCCTAATGAACAACTGAATGCCAGGACAGACAGTGAAATTTTTCTATACACATCAGAGGGTTTGAGAGAATCCCTGTTCCTGATAATGAGAGGAACTCTGCCTCTATTCTGTCTACTGTTACTGGAAGAAGCTGTTATCAATTTGCAAAGTGTTGAAAATAATTAAACACAATTAAATGCTACAATGTACGTAAATACAGTAAACAAGTCCCAATAGAAAAGCAACATTTGCTGTTATCTTACAGTTAGACAAAACATATGACTAAATTTACAAAGATCTCTTCTTTCTAAATAGAAAGAGAGAGCACGCGTGTGCAGGGAAGTAAGAGAAGGCAAGAGAGAGAAAAGGTGAGAGAGAGAGTGCACATGCCTATGTCCATCACTATTTCATACCTCCAGTGGAATCTGTGCATATAATCATTTGGGAAATAACTCCATGTAGTTTATTTGCATCAAGTTTTTATGTCAAGTAAATGGCAAGTAATGCTTATGTCAAGTAATTTCTCAGAATACGCAATAACGGACCTAAATTTAGTAACATTCAGGAATATGACCTCCCCAGGGAACAACTTAACAATTGGAAGAATGAGACACTGGATAATACTGTAAAAAGATTTCGGTCTTCAGAGGAGGACAAATTAGATAAACTAATAGGTCTTCAGTGATGTTGCTTTGTTACAGATTTCATAATTCCCAAGAAGCATTACAATTAGGCACCTGCTTTTTGCCCATTTATTAACATATCTGGTCGTTAAGTGGAACACTCACTGCTAATTTCTCTCACGTGCATCCCCCTGTATCTACACTACCATAGGGATCAAGATCAAGTAGATGATTTCTCTTTTTACGTGCTAATTTCTCTATCTCCTTCTTAAGAAGACACTTAAGTAAAATACGCTGCAAGACAATAAATAGGACTAACATACCCTAAGGGAGTTTTTATTAGCTCATACTGTTTATTAACCCATGCCGGATTCCAGGCTTCCATATGGAATAAAAAGTATCATCTATGGAAGAAACTGCAGAGGTCAGCACAGGTTAAAATGAACACACAGTTCTAATATCAACATCCAGAAGTGATGGAAGTGTGGTTAACAGCTCACGCTCATTATCCAAGTAAGTCAGTGTAAAGACTGTCAATCTCTTGATGTGAAAAGTGAGAGATTTTCTTTGTTGTCACAAAACAAAAAGAACCCAACATAGCCCTCAAATGATTTGGTAATCCTGCCACTGGACTGCTTACACTGTTGAACACCAGTGGATTCAGTGAAGATACAGTTGCATGAACATGATGCAGTGCAGGACAGGAATAGGTCAGACTGACCTGCCACAGTTTGCCTTTTGTAGTTCTAACAGGAATATAAGGATTTCTTTCTTCACACAGGATTACAAATGTCTGTAATCCTTAACGGGAACAGAAGATTCTCTTTCCTTCTGTAAGGCTCAATGTTTGCATGAGAGAGCTTTAAGCATTACCTATACAACTGCCAGATAAATTCTGATTGGAGGACACTCATTTCTAGCTATAATGTTATGGGCAGAAAGAGCAGCAATTTGACACAACTTGTAGCGTCAGCAGCTAGCAAAACTCTTTTTTTGATTTGTAAATGGAGACAATCATAGATAGAGGTAATTGAGAGAATTAGTATGGAACCTCATGGTTTCTCTTTATAGATTTTTCCCCCGATTATAAGCGTGCTAAAAAGCTCCCTGTTACTACTAACTGCGTACTTCTCTGACAGACAAGATAGTCAAGGAAAAGAAATGCAAAAAAATCAATGCATTCAACAGTTTCAGCTGCTGAGAAAGACTGAAACTAGACATTATCTGTCAAAAAGATCTTTCGTTCCCCACTACAAAGCAGTTTAAAGATGCTTTAGAGGCTTCCTTACTCCTATGAAATTCCTAATTTTTAAAGTCAGCACTGTGAAAACTAGGAGTGAGGTGTCTCCACAACAGATAATGAACTGTATTTCCTATCTAGACTTTCTCTTTTGTTAACTGCCTCGTATTGCAGACAAGTAAATGTATAACGTCACACAACTGGAACTAACACCTGCTGGCAGGGTTCCTGCATGAGTGCAAATCACATGAGACAGTCTGAATGAATTAAAGATAGGCCTGCCTACAGTATGCATTTCTTTCACTTGTTTCCGTGTACTCTTGTCCCATGCTACACATCCTGGAGTTGGGCACATCTGTGAGCAAATTGCCCATGAGACCCCCCCTAATTCTGAGATCTGATCATAGTCTAACGATTTTCCTCTCAGAAATGTTAGCAGACATCAGAGGGCTCTTCTCTAAAAGTGAAGTTAAACCCTCAGTTAACATCAGCTTTAAGCAACACAGTGAATAAATATTCAAGGACATCAGGCTCAAAGTAGGAACTCTTGCTAGTGTAGATTTCTAGGTTAGACGTGGGATTTTTTAGTTATTTTTAGAACTGGCAAAAACTCTGGTGCAGATGTTGGCTTAAAGTGACTTTGTCAGTATTCGCCCACAAGCCTAGTATATTCTGTTCTGGTAAAAGCTTTTTTTCTGGTAGTAGAAGCCATTCCTACATGAAGATCATTTCGCTTATGGGACTATACCTTCATAAAGAAAAGAGGAATGTTAAATCTTTTTAGGTCAGCCTTGCTAGCTTTAAATAGAAGAAAACAAAACCCTTCAATAATCTTATTGGTCACAATAATAAAGGCAGCAGTATTTTTTGTATGTGTAATAATTGATTTCTCTGCAGTAAATGTGGATTAGCTGAAATATGGGTGATAGAACTGTTATGTATAAAAATATGAGCACTGAGCTTACAAAAAGTATTCATATAGGTTCTTATGTATTCAATAACTTCTGTTTATTAAATAATCTTGTTTGCCTAAAGTGTTTCTGTGGCCTTCACTATCCTGGGATCAAAGTGCTCCTTAGTGCCACTTACAAAATAGAGCTGTAGGTGACTTGCTCAAGGTAAGAGGACAGTTTCAGATGAAAGCAGACATTAGAGGCAAAGATTCCAAAATACTTTGACTAATATCCAGCACCTTTTCTACTTCCATAACCCTGTCTGTTACTCAGTAACACCCTATTTCTTCCTTAACTTTTCTAGCTATTTAGTAAGGGATCATTTAGACTGTTGGATTTTTAGTGTGACTCTAGTAAATTTGATATTCACTCTTCTCTTATGGAATCTCTCAGCCCTCCTGCCTGTGTTACTTATCTGCTCTTTGGTCTGGGTTTCATACTAACAAGAGAGATTTTATTTGACATTTTTTAATAACGGGTGTAAATTGTTGCCCCATTTTATGATTAGGAGCTGACTGCATCTCAGATGATTCTGGAGACTGAATTCTCCTAGTTGAGAGTCAGTTCACAGGAGGAGAGCCAGTTTACAGGAGAAGGGTGAACGTAAGGAAGCTGGTACCTGGGAGCGACAAAAGCCACAGCAAACTGCTGAGGAAAGAATAGCTGATGACTACAGTGCTACCTAATAACAGTAACATAATGCTACGACTGCCTAGGTAGAAGTCAGGTATATTGACATTATAACCCTGTAGAGATATTTAAAACAAAATCCAAACTCCATTTTGACTATCAAATTAGCCTCTGCCTCTCACCAGTCTTTTTATCTTCAGCTAAAAATGAAGTTAGAATCACTGGGGACAGAGGGCCAACCACACAACACGGTTAGACATGAATGAGCTTTTGATGCCACAAGGCCCCCAAAAGTCTGTAGCCTCTAGAGGCCTAGAAGAACTAGTTTGTCCTGCTCAGCAAGTATCCAATCAGCTCACCACCAAGCGCGAGGGGAAAGACAACTACAGAGTCACAACAGGCGTTATGCACTGAAGAGATGAGACTGAACCAAAGGATCGAAGCCTATCTAGAAATCAAAGGGAGGGAAAAATAGAAGAAACTGAGAGTAGCAGGGCTGAACTAGCCAAGCAACTCCCAGTTTCTATCAGCCACTCATTCTGCTTGCAATTCTTATTCATTCCTAATGCTGTGATTGCATTCTGGGGAAACAAAAGCATGGCAAACTCTCATCAGGCCTCCTCCTCTTCTCCTCAGAGAATCAGTTCTGAGTTGGCTATGAAATCTTCTCTCTGTTCACTTTCTGCCTTCCAGAAGACCTCCTTTTCAACAGTATCTCAAATACTTTTGTTCCATGCTTGCTAAGGTTACGTCTGCTCACTTACCACCGTTTTCTCTTCCCAGTCCATACAAGAAGTAACATTCTGCCTCAATGCTAAGCAATGACAGCAACTGGAAACTGCCATTTTTAAAAACCACTGCCCTTGTACCACCAGCACCCCTCTGAGTTGACGTACGTGTTTATCTCTTCCTCAGACTCCTCCTCATCAGATGAGTATCTAGGTGGCTGATATGTAGTTCTCCGTGTCATGTCCTGAGCCTGTTGTGCTGCTCTCCGTGCACTCTTCCTCTCCAGTGATTCTTGGTGAAGTATATGAAAATAACCTCTACCTTGCTTCACAGCAGTGATATGATGCCTGCCAAAAATCATCACAAGTTGGTCAGTGTATTACAGACACCTTATCAAACTGATCACCCTAAAATTTAAGAGGTTTCACATTTTCCTTGACTCAAGAGTTCAACAGGTTTCTACAACATCCACAAAATCTGTTATCACATTGCAGAAGAAAATACTAAGGACAATGACTCCCCAGTATGAAGCAGCAGATCTTTCCAGTAGCTTTCTCTGCACAGCACTGATTAACCTGTTGAACTCAGCACTACCTTATCCACTACTTGATGTAAGATTTCCCTGTCTAATTTACAGCAGCCAGTTGACCACTGGGTCCCCCACTATCTTAAGTAAGTTGGCACAGCCTGACAGGCACTGCCCTGATGCTACCTGTTAGGTGCCACCTTCCACTTGCTGTCAGAAGGTCACACTGTCCATAACAGGGAAGCTGTCAATGAAGCCTGTAAGTGAGCCGCCTAGGCAATGAAATGGATATGGCATATGATTACTCTATAGCCTTTGATTAAAATGTTAGCTAAAAAGTAGCAGCTGATCCAAGTCAGACAAGCATCCTATCTGGGCATAGGACACATCCCTTTAGGTGAATGTGTTGCTTTACTTCTGGATTAAGCATCATTGGGTTGTACTGATTCTTTCAAGACACAATCTATGCTTGAGATCTGGGTCTCATTCGTGTTACTGAAAAGTAATAAACCCCTTTTCTTACCAGAGATATATTAAAGCACCTGAAGGTCCTATGGGGTGCAGACTTCAGGCACTGAATTCACTAGTTCTCAAGGGGAACAGTTTACTTCCTCCTTATTTCCCTTCATAACAAACCACTTGCATAGTCCAATGATTTTAGGGCCGTTTTTGTTTTGTTTTGGGGTTTTTTGCTGTTGTGGGGGGTTTTTTTGTGCGTGTCCAGCAATTATAAACACAAGTCGTTCCACCTTTCTTTTTCAGATAATGATAACCTATCTGCTGCACCTTTTTTTTATGGACTCAAGGAACTATTATTTCATGTGCTTTTCCACAGTTTTTTCTCTCTCACTGCTGCCAAATATCAGGGTATTTGTATGTAACAAGAATTTTCCCGTTTCATATTACTTTTCCTGCTTACCGCATGAATTGATATAAGCATCTGTTCCTGAAGACTAAAGCACTGCTGTAAATGTGTATTACAATACCATAAATAGTGGACAATAAGGTTATTACATGAATCAAAGACAAATTTAATTATAAACTAGACAGTTTTTTAAACAGACTCATAATCAATATTATTGGAGAAAGATACACAGAACTGGCAAAGTACAATCAGTATGATTTTGTAAGGTTTATCAAATACAGAAGGCTTTAATATGTGTATGGCAAAATCAGCGACCATTTTCATATACCAATAGGAACGGCTATGCACACTTGAGAATAAACATTTTCAGTTTATGATTTCCTTAGGACCCAAGTATTGCAAAAAATAGCTCTGCAATCTCCAAGTACTGACAAAGACATAAAAGAAAATTAGTAGAAATGTAGCATATATAAAAGCTGTAATAACTACCTCATTTAAACAAAAATTCCTTTCATAATTCCACAGAATTATTTCTGGAACACTTATGACTGACCCTGAAGGTTCATGGACACTTGTCATGGGAAAAACAGTAAAATAAATCCAAACTTGAAATATACAGCTGGCCAATGTACGTTTCTGTACTACAGATTTACAGGATATTGGTGCAATAAGACATCACATATTTCTGCATTTAAATTCTGGCATCAGAACATCCCGTTTATACAATAAGTTAATAAACTTAGCTGGGCTGCCAAATTGACAAGTAGGTGAGAATCATTCATTAAAATGCAAATGCAATCAGGATGAAATTTGGAATACATTTATTAAAGTAACTGAGCTTCAGTCAACTGTAGTCACAACACAGATTTTTAACTGCCTTTCAGACAAAAGGGATGTGTCCTATTTTTGTAAGTTAATACCTCTGTCAGCATGGAAATTAAGAGTTTCCTGAGCACTAATAACGTGCAATGGAACACTTCAGTTTTCTCTACAGGAATGTATTAATATAGATAAGGGTCAATGACATGCACAGAAGAGTGACCCAGTAGTGTACTACACACACAGAAAACTGATTGCAAGCATACTTTATAGTGCTTGGTACAACTACACACTCATTAAATTATTCTTTAAATCCTTTAGGGACCATGGGTCATCAGCTAATTGTAATACAGAGCCATTAAAATATTGGTGAATTGACCTTTTACCAAAGATTAGGGATTCCTGGTGCCTTTCTCTGAGTAAGAAATGACTCTCTCAAAAAAAAGGAAAAGAAAAGCATTAATTCATCCTAATCATAAATTTGGTGCTAGACTAACATTAAGAAGCTATAGCAACAACTCCAGAAACTTCGCCATCAGGATCAAGGCTAGCTATTTACCGGTTTTCTTAGATTCTATTAAAACATATCTTACTCAAATACATTGGGTCTTCTTCACTAAATGGAAAGGAATCTTGTTGTATAGGTATTTGTCTCAGAATACCAAATTTTATACAGTTATTAATGACCTCACATCTACTTAGTGCGCCAAAAAATTCCATGACACTGGTTTACCAAAGGAATAAGATACACACTCCTGCACCTGTGATGCCAAAATTCCTGCTCAACTGTTTAAAGCTGAATAGAGTTACTAGGAAGGTGGGCAGAAGGCTCCACTGCCACGTGGCTGCTCCTCTATCTAGCAAGTATACTCAGTGCAGCAGGGGGTGCTTAGGGGGATGCTGCAGTCTCATTAACTCTCTCTGCTAATCGGCCCCAGTCCCATTGCCTGAGGTGCAATGAAGTTGCGGTTTATTTATACTAGGTTGATTCTCTGTGTTTCTAAGGCTTAACTTCATCTTAGGAACATGGTGAGCAAAAATTGTGAGCTGTAAGGAAAATATTTATCTATCAAACAATTTAACTACACACAGCATTTCTCTGATCAGGGGAATTGCTAGCCACTGTCTCATAAAATGGTCATACTATTTTCTTGTCTTATTAGACAGAGGCTTTAGATCAATAAAGCTAATGACAGAACATCCTCTGCTCCAGGCACTATATTTTAAGTTTTTTCCAGAGGCTTAAAGCTGACTTTATAAACATAAATGAAACCAATGTGGCACTGCTCTGAAAGCCATTAAGAGCACAGGCTTTCTTAATGCCACTTCTTACATTTTCAAAAAAGCATTTCAATCTGTACTGGCAGCAACTCCTACTAAACCAGTAAAAGGTTCTCCTTGGGCGCAATGCCAGACTCTGCCAGTGGTGTTGCAAGGTGAATGTTAGTTGGGCACTGCCAGACTTCTTGTACTTGTGACAAACTGAATAGGAGCTAAGGCTTGTCAGGTGAAAACCAAGTGCAATTTTATGCACGCTGCCTCTTAAAGGAATCATTTTGAGTAATATTTTCTGTAGTAGAGAAAGTAATATAACAACAATACATCTCTATACAAAACAGAGAGCAAAGGAGGCAATAACTTTCAAGCTATAATAAACACAGCTAAACTGTACTAAACATTCTGAATATTTCAGACCAAAAGTATGGATTGAAAAACAGAATAAGTCTTCTAAAGGAACACTAAATTACCTGCAGCCAAGCCACCATGGGCTGTGATCCCATCACAACTCTCATATGAGGCTGATGAGTATTTGAATCCTGAAGAATTCAACGAAATATCAACTGAAGGAAGATATATTACTTCCTTTGAATTAAACCTGGTATCCATGCCCTTGCCTGGTTTCAGTGGGCACTGCGGTACCAGAGGGGCTGTCTTCTTGAATGTATAATGAAAAGGACGTTTTGACAACCTGAAGTCATTAAGGATCCTAGGGCAACTTCTGCAGGAGCACAAGTGTTAACGTCTGCATTCCCATCCGATTTCAGATAATTAAATATTACTGTCCTCACTGCTGTTTCATTTAGAATAGTACACCTCTTACCGTTCCAGTCTCTCAAAATACTATATGGTGTGGATGTAAAATAACACACGGTAGACTTCATTTGAGCAGTTGCTGCATTTTAATAGCTCAATTTGCATTAAAGCTGCTGCACATCTTTTTGGATCTCGAGTAAGGTAAGACAGTTTTACTGTAAATGAGAATTAGTGCATTGTTCACTTAAAATATACTCAGTGAGTTATTATGGGATGCTTACGCTACTTACACAGTAAAATTACCAAAAGCCACGGAGGTAAGCCTGAGCTAGCAGGTCCTGCTATTAAACTCTACATGGCATTTGAGTCCTGTCCTGGAAGCTTAGCTTGTGGGCAGAAAAACCTTGCAACTATTTACAATTAATATGTAGATACTAATGTAAATGAATTAAAAATTCTCATTTGGTAGTGTTCATAGCCAAGTTACAGAGATGTGAACAAGTATACACATTAGGCAATGGAGAATCAGGAATACATTGGTTACTATTACTATTTAATGGCTGAGTAATTAGATCTACTAAATGCATTTACTAACCCATAGAAACTCAGATACATGTTGTCATTTACCATATTGAACCATTCTGGCAAGGAACTAAAGAGGTACTATACCAAATCAACATCTGGCTTATATAGTTGTAGAAATAAATACAATTTGGAATACCCTCATTATTTGAGATGTAGAGTCCCATTTTATTTGCCTGCAGCTGAATACAATATTCTGTACCCGTATGTGCTTTTTTTAAAAAAAAGAAAAAAAAACCCAAAACAAAACCAGGATCTGCATAACAGCAAAAATGCATTTTATCATGGGAAAATCTGACCTTGAAATAAATCATGAAACAAGAAAAGTTATAAATAAAACATCAGCAAATTCACAGTATGCTTGCAGAAGGGAGCATAAGAAGAAATAAAGATTTTCAGCGGTCAAAAAAAATACCCCGAAGCGTTACAGGCGATGTCTCTAGGTGAAGGTATTAACGTATTACCACATATTTAAAGACGTCTCAGATTGGTTTTCAATTAACTGTAAAGACATTAAAATATAGAAGATGCTGCTTCCATTGTGGAAGGAGGAAGAATCTCTCCTTTGAAAATGGGGAGAGGTCCTATAATGTTGAGAAACACACATATTTGGCTACGTGGGTGTAGAAAAAAAAATATATCAAAGAACAGGCTTATTTTTAGTTGGAAAATTGTTCTCAAGCTAGCAAGAACGGAGGGCAGTAATTCCACTTTTAAGAAGTCCCGGAAGACAAGAACTTGCAACCACCATTCTTGGAAGTATACAGGAACCCCTCTCCCATTCTGCCATGCTGTACCTCCCATTTACTCCCATTCCTGTTAGATCTTCATGTAGAAATTTTCTCTGGTGGTACAGAAGTTGGGTGTAGGCTCGTGTAGGTTTCCAGCTCCTGGTGTCTCTAGAGAACTACATAAACAGAGGTGAGAAGGGGAAGTTCTTCCAGGACCACACAGAGAGGAGAGGTTGGTACTGAGGAAGGGAGAAAAATAAATCTGCAAGGTTCTAAGGCTTTGCTTTAAATTCCTCTCCTAAAAGCTTTGAGGAAACTTTTACTTAAATTCAGAAGAATAAATCACCTGGAGATTTCTGTGCTCTCCATTTTCTTGCTGTAAGAACGTAAAATAAGAACTTTATGTTCAGGTTGCCCGTAAAAAGGGAAACTCGCTGCTGGTTAAGTGGAGCTCCATTGAGGTCACTGAAGCTATACCTGGAAATACTGCTGGTTCAAGATTTTCATGTGAAAGTAGAAGCCATATTCACGATTTAGTGTCTTGCCTTACCGCAATAAAATATGTACAGAGCAATGACATTTTACTACTAAATAATGGAAACCCATTTTAAGTCTTAGAATTGTTCTAACATTGAGTGACAATGTGTTATTTTGTGTCATAGTACATGGGATAAGACTGTCATGTTTAGGCAGATAGCACAAACTAATAAGCAATGAACTATTTCCACTTACAAAACTTCAAATACAAACAAACGTATTCTCCCACAAAAAGAAAGGAGATTGAGACTAAAATGAACAGCCTGGAAAGGCTGAAATGTTGATAAGAATAGCAGTTTTTCCAGTGATTGATGATAGAGATAATGATTCATACAGCCATACACTAAATGGATGTC